TGGAAATGTCCCTATCAGAAACACTCTTGTCGTTCTTGCTAGCTAATCTTCTAAGTCCTGCATATTGGCCAAATTTTGTCTTTGATTGGCGGAGGACAGTACTTGCAAAGGCACTCCATATTCAAATCAGTACTCGATATAGAGCAATAAATATTATAGTTTTAAATAATCATACCTGTCTTTCATGTCCTATCAGTATCTTATTTATAGTGACATATTTGTACCTGATGAACTTTCTTGATTGTGACCTCGATAATTAGTAAATTAAATCTTAATTCCTGATGACGTGGGTGTTTATTATTTAATTTGCTATTAACGTGGGTCAGATTAATCACGAAGCACTAGTGGAAAAATAGGCTTTTACGTCACCTAATTTATGTCGGAAACAGGAAAACTCGACGTTATAAAAACGCGGTAGCAGTATCATAAATATAGAGAGACTAATTTACGTCGGACCCCACCTGTCCGACGTAAATGAGCCTCTATAATGGTCATACCTTTCATTCTCATTCTCGCGCGCCCCTTGTTTACGAAAGCATCTCTAAGTTCTTCTACTCTAAGTGTCGAAGTTCGTTTGTTTGCACACATTTCTCGTTTGTCTAAGTCCTCTAAGACTCTGCACATTCCACATTTGAGGTAACTTTCGTCTACGCATTATTTTGTTTATTTTCTGTTATATGTTCATCTGGAACGGCCCGTTCTGCAAGCAGCACGGGCTGTTCTGCAAGCAGAACGGGCCGTTCTACAAGCAGAACGGGCGTTCTGCTTGATTTTTTTGTTTCTTAAATGTTAATCTGGAACGGGTCGTTTCAGAACCAGAACGGGTCGTTCCAGATAAACAATTAACACAGAAGTTTTGTAGCTGGAACAGGTCGTTCCAGACACATAAATCTGTGTTAATTGTGTATCTGAACGGCCCGTTCTGGTTTCAGTACAGGCCGTTCCAGATGCATTAATTGTGTATTATTTGTTTTTTTATTAGTTATTTTGTTGCTATATTGTTATTATCTTTTTTACTTTATTTGTCTATTCAGTTAATTCGTTGTTTTAATAATGAGAGTTTAATTTTTTCAGGATTATGGAGGATTCGGGGTCTGGCAGTGGAAGGAGGGATGGTAGATCTGTCACCCGATTGTCTGGGTTGACAACTGGACGCATTGCCAAGGAGAGGACACCAGTTGAGGTGGATCCTCGTTCTGGCAAGGCGTCAGGCCCAAATACTACCAAGTTTAAGAGCTATTTGGAAGTCATAGGACGACATGTTTCTATTATCATTCCATCATGGGATGACGTTCAGGAGGCTGACAAGAACCTCATGTGGCAGGATATTCAGGTATATACTTTCACATCCCTTCAATATTATATAACTTAAATATATTATTTATTATTTGTTGTTATTTTCATAGTAAAATTTTGACATTCCCAACACTGAGGTCATGAGGAGGAAGATGTTATCTGTCCTTGCCACCAGGTGGAGAGACTTCAAGACTTTCTTGACACGGGAGTATGTATTTGGAGAGCGACAAAATGAGACTCCCTGTCTAAAGTACTAGATCACTAATGAGGAGTGAATGCAGTTTCGTGCCACTCGATTGGACCCTTCTTGGCAGGTTAGTTATTGATAACTCTTACATTGACACAAATACTTAAGGTATATTTTATTTTGTATTATTGCAAGCCAAAAGAATAGCTACCCAAGAACGGCAGAGCAAGAATGATGCACCCCATCTATTGTCAAGAGGGGGATATGAATTAAAAAAAAAAAAAGGGTTGAAAGTGTAACACCCCAGTTTTCAATAAAGTTATTATTATTATTTTTACATTTACGAAGCACACACAAAGGATATAATAATTTTCTTTGTATCACTGCGGTTAATGATTCCAGAAGCAATTATGATTTCAGAAGTATAAAGTAATAATCAAATCATACAGTGTTACATGTATGTAGTAAGGACGGAGGTTCAGTATGAACAATACTACACATGTTACGACACAAATCTAGGTAACATTTTCGAAAATAAGTTTAAAACACAAAATAATAAACAATTTTATAAATAATATTATAAATAAAATTTTTAATGTTAATTATTAGTTTTTATTTTATGTACATTTACTCTTAAAAGTCTCAAATTTATGTGATTTTCATTCATTACTTCACTATATAATTAAATAAATAATATAAAATTGACCCTTCTATACATCTTATTTATTTAATAATATGTTTTTTATTGGAATAGACACTTATATATTTATTAAATACTCAAAACCCTGCAATCTCATCCAGTTAAATCCAGTTGAAATAAAAAACAATAAATAAATGTATATAAACGGGTGCATAAATTAAATAAAGAGTTGTACTCCACCGGACATCGGACGCAGGGAGTGCAGTGTTTCGAAACTAAGAGATGCAACTTCTAGTATGCTTATGACTATTCGTAAAACTCATTTTTCTATAAATATCACCATCGTCATTTGTTACTCATCATTCTCTGAGGTGTGGACCAATACAGTCGTCTCATTGTGTACACTGAACATCAGACTTAAAATGACACTTCCATTGGAGATAATAACCGAGATATTTTTGCGGGGACCAATCAAATCATTTTGCAGAGCGAAAGCGGTGTGTAAGCTTTGGTTTGGTTTGTTTGCTGAATCTCTCATGGCTAAAAGGCACTATGCCCTAGCAGTAGCACAAAATAGAATCCCCAAAAAAAATTATGTTTTTCTCATGTTTCGTAAATGAAATACTATGTGTAGACGTAACGCAGCCTGTTGTTGCTCCACACGCGAGTTGCATTCTTCACTCCCCAATCGGCAACTCCATTCGGTACCGTAAAATCGTTGGTACATGTAGGGGACTCGTAGTAATATCGGTTCCTACATCGATGTTGATTTGGAATTCGTCTACCGGATTTACTCGTTCATTATGTCCATGGGCAGGTACTACAAAAGGTATTTGCGGTGATGTCTTTGGTCTCAACTTGTATGGATTTGGTTATGACCGATCTGAAGACAATTATGTTGTCCTTCAAATTTATCTTAGTAAAGCTGATCCATCCCATCGCGCTTTGCTGTATTATGTGAATGATGATTCATGAAGGGATTTCGAAGATGACTCCCTTTCGACTATTTCACAGCCTTCTATTTGTGTTCATGAGGGATGTATGGGACTGTATTTTGCAGATTCTCTTCACTAGATTACTTTTAACTATGAAACAAATGCTGATGTTATTTTGACTTATAATTTATTTGAGTCAAAATTTTATCAACTAAGTATTCCTCATGAAGTTGAATTAGAAGACTATAGGGTGTGTTGTTTGAGAAATATAAGAGACAGTTTGGCTTTATGTACAGTCATGCAGGATGCAAACTAGGACTACACCGTGGACATATGGGAAATGAAGGAATATGGTGTCACCATATCTTGGTCTAAGTTGACATGTATGAAGGTCAGTAATCACTTTCCAGGGTATATGTTACCCGCCTGTTCTTCTGAGAATTGCCTTGTATTTGTCAACACTGAAACCGGACGTTTCGCGACATGGAATGCAATAGACGAGACATTAGAATATACCACTTTTCAGCATGTACTCCCATTTGAACACCACATGATAGTCTGTGAAGAGATACTTCTTTCAACCTAAACTTAATGTAATTTTTTGCTTTATTTACTGTACGCTTTGTATTTTAATCTTTACCATTAATTATTAAACATGTTATCAATTGGTATTTGTATTGTATACATTATATAATATATATATTTCAATTTTTTTATATTATATATATATATTGTATTATTTCATTTGTATATGGAATTTGAACCAATAAATATATTAAATAAAATTTAATTTCAAAAGTATTAATTAATAGTTTATAAACAATTTATTATTTTAAAATAAACCGTTAACGAACATTAACACACATGGAAACGTTAAACCAAACAATCACTATTAAAAACTTAAAAACAAAAAATATAATAATATTCTAAAACATTTAAAATAGCAAAAACAATTATAAATAATATACTTGAAAAACTTATTTATATTATAAATTAAAAAAATTAACAATTAAATAAATTAAAACGTATTAACAAAATATTAATATTAAATAATTGAATTATAATACATGCTACATTATGATAAAATTTAACAAATATAAAAATAATTTAAACATATAGATACACGTAAGCATCTCAACGCACGTTAAACCAAAGAATCAGTGCTAATAAACCCATGTGACCCTTCATTTGCTTTGCATAGATAGACGTAAGCATTTAAAATTCCAACTGCCAAACGCACGATCAAAAGACAATAATTACACCTTCTAGAAAATCACTTTTATTTTTAGAAGTGGGATACAAAGCATCTCATCGTAAAGGTTAAAACCAACAATTTCTTCTTCCTCTTCGTCTGGCAAATTCGTAATATCCATAGAAGACAATCACCGAAATTCACCCCCTTTCTCTTTGCAACGGTAAACAACATCTACTGGTATCATTCTATTTCATTCGAAACCTTTCATATTTTAACTTTATTTTTTTCACTTTTGTTTCTTAAGACAAAAATATTCAGGACAGTTAAATCTATCTTCTTTTAGGTTTCACTAAGTTTGGGTTTTTCATCATTCTTTTTACTGTTATTATAAACAAAACCATTGACTGTAAAACTATTTTCTTCGTCCCATGTATTGTCTTTGTTGCATGTTGTATATTAAATAAAAACCTTAAAATGCAGAAAATGGAGCTTGTTATGAATTCTGATATGGATAACATAGTGAAATAGTTTAGATCTCCGTTATCACCAAATAAGGTTAACTTATTTTATATTTTTTCTTTGCAATTGGATATAAATGCTTTAATAGTATTATCAACTATTAATATTTATACTGATTCTTCGTTGAGTTGTTTTGTTATTGTTAGGATCGGATTTTTATAAATGCTAACTTTTACAGACACTAGAATGGTAAGATAGAAGTAGGCGACTGCATCATAACAGACCCAAACGGGAACACGTTTAAACTTATTTTGAAAGTTTTAGGTCAAACTGTTGGCATGTTTTATGGGGTAAAACAAATTGTAAATTTTTATGGTCTCACATCCGAACACATAGTTGACTTCTACTACAATAACACTAACAATTTTGATATGCGTATTTATAATTTTGCTGAGGAGGAAATATGCTATCCTCAGTTGAAAAAAGAAACCAACAACACTTCAACAAATATCGGGTAAAGTTTACATACACATAAACCCCAATGTATTATTATTTTAATACTATTTGTAGTACTAAATTACAGTTTTCATTTTCTCAGCATGGATACTGTCCAAATTATGCAACCTCAAATTGAAAATGAACATTTAGTTGACAATGATGAAACATTTCCACCAACCCAACTTCAAACACATCCTGCAACCCAACTTCAAAAACATCCAATTACTTGGTTTCCAACCATGACCAAGGCCGCTTCAACCGGAAGACAACCTTTGGTGAGCAATTAAATGAATTATATTTTTAGTTATTATTTCTATAAATGAATATTAACATTTATGACCAACACCTTGTACTTATTGCAGTATTTTCCAGTAAAATATGTTGATGTGTGGAACATTAACAACTACAAAATTTGTGTGTTGATTGATGAGCATGGAAATATGGTGAAGTCTGACATTAACAAAAAGTCTACTAAGCACAACAAAAACGAGTTTTACTTGGGCAAGAATGGGGTCAGCCGATTAAGCGAGAAGGATACAACCAACACCAAATGTTGAAAATTGAAAAACTCAATGACCCTAATTATTTAGTTTTAAATGTTCAGAAAGTTTGATTCACTACTTTTAACTTTCACGGCGGCGGGTTTACGGTTTATGCTGGCCGAATTCCTTCTATTATTTGCTACACTGCTACTTTAAAATTCGAACTCAACATTTTACATTTTGTAATTACTTTATTTGCTACTGGTACTTTAATATTGTCATCCATTTATAACTAATTTTTATGTCTTTCATTAATAGTTGCATGAAATTATTTACTTTGGTTCTATGTTGGCCAAATATATATTTGGTTCTATCATACTAAACTCAACGAAACAACAATACACCTCCACAATAACAAAGGTTTGTTTATTATTAAATTTTATTTATATTTTATAAATTTCTTAATTTTTTTATATCATTTTTTTATTATTAGTCCTATGCATGGTTATATTTCTGACTTCAATTTTGTCACTATCATTTTACCAATAAAATTCAATTTTGGGATTATACTTTCCACGACCCAACAACATACGACAACACCAACCTCAATCGCAACTCAATTTTTATTTAATTTAAAAAAATTGTCGTTTTAAATTATAATAATTTATTTTTTAAATTATACTAATATAAATTTATTTTCCACAAATAAACATACCACAAATCATTTTGGAGTATTGCTCCCTAAGTCCATCTATGAACGACTAAAAACACAACATTGTACCATCAATGTAATTACTAAGTATATATTATCAATTAAATATCATTTAATATATATTTCTCAGTAACACAAAACTTCAATACACAAGGGTCAAAAAATTTATACTAATCAGTCCATTTTATTGCTATCAATATGAAAATTAAAAATAATTAAATTAATTTCGTAACACATACTATCGAAAACTACTTTAACAACGAAATACATTTCATAAATAAAACATTAAATTCAAACATTACCTTTTCATAAAACAATGTTAAATTTGTAATAATTTTGAAAATATTGAAATTCTGGGTTAGACGGCCGGAAAATAATACGTGCTTCAAAACTTGATATACTTAATGTTGTATTTAATCTATAATCTATAATAATAATAATATAATTAAACAAATTAAACCACCCCATATGGTTTTTGGATTAGCAAAAATACTTATTACTCATACGGGAAGGTAGAGTGGCGTCGTTTTGATATTCAAAAACCACACTCTTTGTTTCCTGACAAGTGTTGACGTTTCAAAGCAAAACGACTGCGGCAACGGGGCAACAATGACTCACTTTATTTTTCAGTTTTTCACGAAATCCAACGGGTCAAAGGGGCCACCTAAACAGAGATAAAGTTACATCCTTTCACCATTCTCTGTCGCCGAACCAACTACAACAAAAAAAACTACTTTCATCTTCTTCCCAAACTAATCTCCTTCGCACACTCATCTTCTTCGCAGACTCATTTTCTTGCCAAACTCATCTCACCAACTTCATTCTCCTTCTTTCGGTAACTTCTTCCTATTCATTGTCGTTGTTTCAAAAAAATGTGCTTTCTTTAACCCTAAACATTTATCAAAGTTAACTAATGTTAATCTAATCATTCAAATTCGTCCTTTACACCGTTCTTGCTCTGTACCACAAAAATAAAATCTTTTTTTTATTTCATGTATATCTAACCCACAATGATTTATGACGATCTCCATGAATTCCTTACATTATTTTGTCATTTTCTGTTTTTAGGTTTAAAGTTTACGGTTTATATATGAAAAAATACAAGATCAACCCTAAACCATAAACAGTTCATTTTACTTCTCTTTGTTCGTCATTCAATGTAGAAAAATGGGGTTCCTAAACGACGCACATCCGAAAAACCCACCAACACACTTCTGATGCGACGTCACCCCAAATAAGGTAAAGTTTTTGCTGATGTCTCTAATACACCACTTTTACAAGTCCTGCATAGCTACTGCATCAATAATCACCGTAGATTTAATATTAAAATAATCAACGGTTCATATTATCATTTATTCACCATTAGATGCATGTAATCCTATTACCTATTATACACCCTATCTAATGGGAAATAAAACTCATGCATCCATACACGACTTGTATTGTATACTAATTAAATTTAATTAACATAATTCCATGCTATTCATAATATATATATATATATATATATATATTATATCCTTTTTTCTTTTTCTGTAGGGTCGGATCTATCTTAAAACATATAAATATTTATTTAAATATGCTAATAAAAAATACTTATTTAATACGTACAAAATAATTGTCCAAAACAATAATTATTTAAAACGTACAAAATAATATTCTTCTATAATTATTAAAATAATTATGACCAAATA